CCCCCTCCTCCTCCCTCCCTCCCTCTCTCTCTCTCTCTCTCTCTCTCGTTTCCAGCGTCATGGCCCCACGTGAGTTCGCAAAGTTTCCCATGCAGCTGCAGCTGCAGTTGTGCGGGTTAAGACTCTATGGGGGTAGGACTCTAGATCCCATAGGGTCCACTTGCGCGCCGCGCAATCCTCTCGCAAACCGCAATCCCAAATTTTTTACAGGCGTCGTCGTCGTCGTTATCGCCCTACGCATGACGTCCCTGCAGATACCGGAGCACGTCGTGCTGAATGAGACGGTGCGCATGCAGTGCAACTTTAACTTGGACAAAGAGCTATTGTACTCCGTAAAGTGGTACAAGGACGGCCACGAATTTTATCGCTATACGCCCAAAGACGCGCCCATGGTGCTAACATTCCCGGTGCCTGGCGTAAACGTAAACGTGAGTGCGAGTTTGCGAGTACTTACTAGGAATGCTTAGAATAGCGCCAAATGGAGTCCTGACTTCCTCTGCACGAGAACAGTCAGTCTTCAACAATCATCCTTTTATGGAATAATATTCTAGTGTTTATATTAAATGAGGTATTTGAGATACCTACTTACAATTAGTTTAAATATTTAAACGTTATCCAGAATAATAGATAGATAAAAGTATCGATTCGTTCTCAACTTTAAGCATCTCCAGTGACACACACAATATTTATTTCATCGGTTTAATGTTTAATTTGGATTAATAGCTGATACAGCCACGTGATGTTCGAACGTGAAGGAAAGTGTAACAATTTTTTTTTAATATAAATAAGCAAAATAGATACTATATTCTGTCAAATATTCGTTAAACAGATCTTGATGTTTATAATATATTTGTAAATTTCAATTTCCTATTCAAGCAAACTGCGCGTCTGCGTTCCTTATTATATTTATCGGTCTTTAAACGAAATGAAACACAATCCTAAAATGAAGCTGAAATATGTAATATCAGAAATTAAATTGACGTACAATTTAATAATACAGATGTTAATAACAAAAGTAGTAAGATATTATTATTAGAACGACAATTTAATGTCATAAAAGTTATATTTAATCAATGAATAATGGATAACATATTATTAATGGCTATTTTTTTCTTATTAAACAATAATTTTAATTAAATAAGTGTTTATAATTATTTAAAGCCATTTTATGCTTATTTCACTTCACTTTACTCAAAATCTCGCTACGCAAATTTTGTCGATTACATTGTGTACAGCACGACAAATCTTTTGATCAGTTTCTATATATCATCTACCTTTTTTGCGATCTTTTTCTAACAATTTTGCTACGTCCAAAATTGTAAATAATGGTCAAATTTAAAAAAGGAAAACATTTTTTAACATAAAAAAATTATAAAACATTTTAAAATATATATAGACACAGGTGTAAATATTTTAAGAAAAAAAAATCTCCTTTCTTTTTATTAAAAAAAGATATTTAAAAATGGAAAATCAAATAATCCAATGTTACTTTTATAAATTTATTAACATATTGATATGTTTATTAATATCCAAAAATATACAAAGAAATATTTCCCAAACAATTGAGCTATCTATAATTTATTTAATCTACTTATTTACATAATGTTTATTAAATGAATTAAACGAGAATAATAAAAGTACCAAAAAAATGTTACAACAATGTGTACAAATTTAATAAATATGCTTAAGTTGGCCGTATTGGTTTTAAAATTAGAAAGAGTCTTCTTTTTCCTAACCAAATGTTAAGCTTATTCTACAATTGTATCACAACTGAATACAAAGAATATTCGACTATTATTGGACAATACAATTACAATCACTAACAACTATTACGCTTATACAATTGTAGATTAGACTTTGTCGCGAAAATGTAAACTAAATGCAACGTTTTGTAGGATATAGGAAATACAGAACTATATACAATAAAATAAATTACGGAAATTAATAATTATTTCTTGATATTATAGAATTACCTACGAGATATTACATTACAACCACGACATTTTGCATTTTCCTTTACTGACAATAATAGAATAAACAACCTGAGCAATAAACTGATGCAATCGGGTCAAACGAATAGCCTACACAACTTACTAGTGCTATCTGTTAAGTTCACTATGTAATTACTCGCAAACATCAAGTAGAGCATAGTGCATACTAGGACATATAAAGTCCAGGTTACCTTATGCTATAATTTTTCGGAAAGATTTCATTTTACATGTTATTTATTCCACAGAAAAATAAGCTGTATCTTATTTCAGATAACGTATTGTATATATAAAATTATGTATTTCTCGTCATAAATAATATGTCATTGATCTGTGACTTAGAATTATTTGTTTCGATGTATTTTATGATATAATATGATTTTAACGATAATATTGTGTCGCAATAGACATTATATTGACCACACCTTGAAAACATATTTAAAATAAAGTAAAGTATTTATGATGAAAAATATCGAGCGCAAAGTTTATTCAAACTGGAAATTGTAAGACGCACGCAAAAATATTATTATAAATTCTAAAATCCGCTTTGGTTGAATATTTATTTGTCTTGATCATTTCTCGGTCGATTTTTTTCATTTATTACAGTTTTTTTTAAACTTCTCTTTTTTGTCTGCGTTTAAGCTAGAAGCACAATGCACTTTGTATATCTCTCACGGCGAAAAGCTTTTTGTTCGAATCTGATAGAATCTGGTTTGTTCACTGCGTGGTACATCGCGCAGGCCCTGCGTCACGCTCGATCGGGCACAGCAGCTTGTAATCGCGAATTTGCATTCAGAGGGACGAGTCCACTGAGAGTTCGGTTGTCTTGAACAACGTGAATCTGACGAGCTCGGGGAGGTATCGATGCGAAGTGTCGGGCGAGGCCCCCGCCTTTGAGACAGTCTCTGATCACGGGGACATGATTGTAGTTGGTAAGTATTGTCATGGAAAGTAAGAGCGAATGTGTACGATTAAGTTGGGATTGTACTGAAAATTCTAAAAAGACTTGGAAGCAGCAGTCCTTTTAAATCTCACGATTGTATTCAAGTATCGATGTTATCGATAAACAGAGAATCAAAATCTTGAAATAATCTAAAATGCACAGAGGAAATTTTTTTTATTTTTAAAGTAAACTGCGTTAAAGCGACGGTGATTACTTTAACATAATTTGCGAGAGGCGAAACTAGATAAATGAGTATGTACAGTAAATGCGCGCGGTGAGATAAGGAGAATCTAATCCGAGGGTAGCGACAATAGTACTAGAAAGGGTCATGGCAACGTTTCAGTTCTACCTAACGAAGGACCGCAGATAACCGGTGGTCGTTCCAAGTATCAAGTCGGCGATGTCGTTCACATGAACTGCACGTCGGCACCTTCTAAACCACCTGCGCTATTGTCTTGGTTCATCAACGACGAGCCGGTAAGTGAGACACTTAAACCGTCGGCGAAATAATTATAACCTCTGTTTCACGCTTTACTAACCTTTTCCAACCGATGCGACGCGATGAAATGTGTACTTAAAAAGAAAGAGAGAGAGATGAAAAGAGAGAGGAGAGAAAACAAAGAATGAAGCACAACGTAGTTGCCGTATATGCAATTTGTTAAATCAAAGCTTCGTTCCGTTCTGTTTTCATCACAAAGACACGTATGCGTGTCGCGCGCGTGTCCATTTGCGTTAATCTCGAAAAATACTCCTCGATAATGTTCTAATTTAAAATTTATTTTGATAAAATACCAGTCACCGTTCCCAATTAAAGGTGAAACGTCGACTGTCTCTCGTGTCAACATTGAATATCGATTTTAAATCCATGACATTTATGTATTTTCCATTTATTCGATCCCGTTTATGTGTCGTTAATATTTACGGAACTCTACGGGTCTTTTTTTAGAAAATTCGTTACCGCGTTATATTCCAGCGAAATTTTCCGCTCTGCGGACGCATAGCTTAACCGAATTAAAGATTAACTTTAAAATAACTTTGCCTGCACAGCGCGCGCGCGCGCGTTGCTGATGAATGTTATTATCATTATCGTGCAATAATTAGAATCTTGCTTCGGTGCTTCATGCAATTTCGCGTAATTGGTTTCACGAAAAAAATTTGCATCCGGGATCAAAAGAGCGCAATCTCTCGTTCTTAATTGTTTTCAAATTGCATTCTACAGAATCGCGTATCTGTTTTCCATCTCCCGCCTAATTGGTACCGTCGATGCTGCGTAACTCGGGTCGCGAGTCTACGTCCTAAATAAAAATCTATCTAATTGCTCAATCCCAATCCCCTCTCCCGCGCGGGACATTTATCACAACAATCTATCACGTGTATTCAGAGAAAAGGTTACAGTAGTCGCAATTATATAAATTTTTATAAATAACAAGTGTACAAGTTTCACATACCTAATACAAGTATATACCATAATGTGCACATTGAACATTAATTCTACATAACATAAAACTTGTATAGTTGCCATCACTATGTTTTTTCTGAGAGCGAAATGTCACGGTGTCCTTAAAAATAATCTTCACATGGATGGTTGTAAAGACACATCGTACTTTCAGGTTAACACCGACTACCTGATAGGACCCAATATCGTCACCGAAGAGAACGGCCTGGAGACCGCGAGACTCAGTCTGAAATTCCGCGTCGCGATCAAGCACTTCAGGCGAGGCGACATGAAGCTAAAGTGCTTGGCCACAATAGCCACGGTCTATTTACAGAGCAACGAGGAAAGCGTGGAGGGCGATGAGAGCGTTCTGAAAACGCCTATAATGGAGAGCCGCGAGACTCGGGCGCAGAGCCACACTCGCGAGGATCTGACGAACGGTAAGCCTCTCTCCGCTCTCCCCCCCCTCTCTCCCGACCCCGGATATCATTCGTTATTTTCCTATACCTATACTTATACCATAATTGCGCAACGTTTCCCCCCCCCCCTTTATTGATTAACCCTCCCACGAATGCTGAATTCAACTTTTACCTTGTCTAGAAGTTGGTAGCGCAAGTTAAAATAATTAAGGTCCAGTTGCACCGACGTTGATTATTGGTATAACCGTAATTAGCGGAATCGTAGCTACTCCTGCAGTTTCGTTACGGAGGATAAAACGTTATACGTTCAATTAAAAAGTTATTTCCCTCTCCCGCCGTTACTTCTCGTGTCATTTACAATTTCTCTCGTAACTTCTCTCTCTCTCTCTCTCTCTCTCTCTCTCTCTCTCTCTCTCTCTCTCTCTCTCTCTCCCTCTCTCCCTCTCCCTCTCCCTCTCTCTAGTGCTTTCGCACCCTCGCGATTTTTTAAACCCTTTCGAATCTCTGGAGCCTACAATTATGATAAATCATCGATTACAAGCAGGGGTGCGGACGATAAAAAATTCACTTAGGTCAAGCTCTGAGCAGGAGGGAGGGTTATAAATCCCCATTATAACACTTGAAGCTCTCTAGATTATTCCGCTACTAGATTTGATATACTGAGAAGCGAAGCAATTACGACACGCTCATGCCAAAATATTATGGAATATTTTGTTTATTCCTTCTTTTTTTACATTTGGTCAATCGATTTTTTACGAGCTTACTTTAACCGGAAATCGCCGCAGATAATTTGAAACAAAGAAAAAATTTTATATTAAGTTTTAATACAATTTTAAATTATATTTTACTATATCTTGTATTTTCGGATGGATCCTTACAACAATATTTCAACATAACTTTTGCTATGGTAATACTAATTTTATCACATAAATGAAGTAATTTTTGTTAAATCCAGACTTAAGCCTTGGAAAAATTTTTACTATGGTACGCAAACAATATTTGCTAGGTTATTCTTTATCTTTACAATACTAACTTTTATTCAACAAGGTGCGATTTTGTAATAAAAAATGTTTACTATGAAAAAATACAAAAATTATTTTATGTTATTGTTTTAAAATAGTACATTGTGTAACATGTGTGTTAAAGTTGTTTATTGTGCGACGTGGGCGCGGGAGCGCACGAGCGAAGCGAGTGCGCTCCCCCGCGCCTACGTCGCGTTATAGACAAGTATAGCACATGAGTTGCACATAGATTTTTTCATCACGAGTGCACTGTGTTTGTAATATGTTATACAATCATAAAATTGCACGAGCGAAGCGAGTGCGACTTATGGGATGGTGCGTGGGGCGCAGGAAGCAGGGGAGGTTCGAGGGGGGGCGCAGCCTCCACCCGAAAAAGAAATTAAAATATTTCATAAATAAATATTTAACAATACAAAATTTTGTATTGCTCATTACTTTTAATTATAATTATGAGATTATTACAATTTGAAATTAAATTTAAACGTTATTGTAAGTTGAATGATATTTATAGATACTGTATTGTCGTTTTGTCGTAGTTACTTTTATTAT